CCACTTTTGAGAGTCAGAACTTTCCATGGCTTGACGGAAGTTGATCGGATCATCTTCCAACACTCTACATGTTCTTGAAGAAAGACGATGTAATCATCTGAAATTCTACTTCTCCTCTCTCTAGTGGATATTCTTAATAGCAATGGTTTTTGAAGCTGTAGAGTTTGTTCTTCTGGAACAAGTTATTGACCTTTAGATGGAAATACAACAACATTGTCTTGATCTGAAGTTACTTCTTGAACAATATCAGGGATAGAAACCTGACCCTAATCATTGTTAATGTCAATTGGAGGAATTTCAACGTATTCCTCCTCAAAGACAAAGTCTGTAACCCTTTCTCCTCCTGCAAACTTTACATTCTCAAAGAACTGGACATTTCTTATCTCGAAAATTGTCTTAGTTGTGGGATCATAAAACTTATAACCCCTGAACCTTTCAAAATATCAAATAAAATAGTAACTGATAGTTCTTGCTTCAAGTTTCTTTTCGTTTGGCCTATAATGCCTTGCATTAGATGGACATCCCCAAATGTGTACGTAATTCAAATTAGGCATCTTGCCCGTCCAAAGTTCATGAGGGGTTTTATCAGTGACCTTAGTTGGAACTTTGTTGAATATATATGTTGCGGTCTTTAATGCTTCGGCCTAGAGTGATTCTGGTAAGGTAAAATGTGTAATCATACTCCTCACCATGTCCTTAAGCATTCTATTTCGTCTTTCAGCAACACAATTCATTATGGGTGAACCCGACATAGTATATTGTGGGATGATACTGTATTCCTTTAGAAATTTAGCAAATAGTCCTAGACATTATTCACTTGAACCGTCACATCTGCCATAATAACCACCATGGTTAGATATGACGCTTTTTCCTTTTGCCGAGTTGGTTCTCAACTTCAGCTTTATAGTTTTTGAACACATTCGTCACTGCGATTTTTCATGAATGAGTTATATATATAACCATATCTAGAAAATTCGTCTATGAACGTTATTAAATATTTTTGACCATTCCAAGAAGCCATAGGGAATGGTACACAAATGTTCGTATGTATAAGTT